GGTTGAGGATAAAGGAGAATATCCAGTAAAGGTCAATTTGACTAATGAAAAGACAGGAGAGGAAGAGGAGGTCAGAGCCAAGTTCCTGGTCGGCAGCGATGGTGCCGGAAGTAGAATACGAAAGAGTGTGAACATCTCCTTCGATGGTACAAGCACCAATATCTATTGGGGTATTATGGACTGTGTTTTTGAAACCGATTATCCCCATGCTTGGATGTTTGGGTATGAATCCCCCAAGTATAGCCCTTCCATTACTAGTTTACTAACTTTCGGGTAGTTCCGTCATAAGCTCAAAGCACGGTGGGTGTGTCATCATTCCCCGTGAGAATGGATACATCCGTCTGTATACCCAGCTCGACACCTCTGCTACCGGAGAACTCGCCAAGTCTCGCCAACAGTCAGATTCCACTTTTGCCGAAGCCGGCGGCAACGTCAATGTCCACTCCATCACTCCCGATGAAGTTCTGGAGCAAGCTAATAGAATTTTCGCCCCCTACAAGCTCAAGTTCGCTAGCACTCTCTCCTGGTTTGCGATATGGAAAATCTCGGAGCGCGTTGCTGCCAACTACTCATACAAGAACCGTGTCCATCTTGTTGGAGATGCTGCGTAAGTTTCTGTCAGCTCGAGGAAGCAGAATCACCATTAATCACTCATTTTGAGATTAGGCACGTCCACTCCGTCATGGGTGCTTTTGGTCTTAACGCCTCTATCTTGGATGCTTCCAACCTAGCATGGAAATTGGGACTCTGCGCCACCAACCAGGCCTCAATTCCAAAACTCCTACCCACCTACGAAAATGAGCGGCGCAGACACGCCGTCCGCATTATTGAAACATCAGGCGTATACCTCCGCTTCGTCTGCAATTCCACCCTCCCATCAGTGAACCTCAAGGGAGTCGGTACCGATCCTCGGGAGGATGAGCTTACCAGGACCGAGAAACCCGACCCAGCCTCCGGCGAAGAGAACGAGGATCTAGCCTTCCTCAAGCGCTTCTATGCCCAGAATGGGCCATTCCTCCTCGGCGTGGACGCAGCGTACGGGAACAACGCCCTGAATCCTCCCCGTTCTACCGGCCCCCACCCAGTCGTTGTCAAGAACGGTGTCCGCGCCCCCAACCCCCGTGTCTGCTTTTCACAGGCCAAGACCGGCTATCTCTACGATGCCCTCGCAGGGCCTTCAAAGATCAACATCATAGTCTGGGGTTCTGACCTCGAGGGCCCGATCCGTAGGCGTCTGGTGACCTTCGCAAGGGCTCTCACCGATCCTGCATCATTCTATAACCGGTTCGGCGCTATGGAGCGATTCAACATCGTTCTCGTTACCAAGGGTACTCCACTGGAGGCCGCACCCGGGTTGGCTAAGGGCTCCGACCTCGCCCCTTTCAGGGAGATCGGAACCGTTCTTTATGACGATAGAGCACCCGATGAAGATGCCCACACTTGCTACGGTGTCGATCATGCTAAGGGCGCTGCCGTCGTCGTCCGACCCGATATGTGGACCGGAATCAGTGTTTTCCCCGATCAGGTTGACAAGTTCGCCGAGTACTTTGCTGGTTTCTTGATCGAGACCGGGAGCCTCCCCGTCAGAGAGAATGCTAACGAGGGGGTCTTCGTCACAACCGCTAGGGGGAGGGCTTAAATGTGAGGTTTCTGCTGTCGATGAGGCACAAATTGTGAACCACCTGATCGTTCATTTTCTCTTTCTCGGGGGGTTTTTTTTGGAGGGGGGGGGGTTGTTTCGTTTCCCCGATGGTGTATTGGATCTATGTAAGCTATTTAACCCCGCAAAGCGCTATTGATACTTCTACCAGAATTTGCAAGTGCGGAAGCGAATAAGCGACTAGTCCGCTCAGCCGCAGCATTGGTTGTGGTGGGAAATACCCTCCTGTGACGTATCTTTCATCCTGCACATCTAGTTGGTACAGCATCAGATTAAAGGTCTCCTGTTGAACGCATGTTAGCATAATTTACAGTTCTGGTTCCACAAAGCGTCGAGCATGACGTACATTCCAGACCGGTGCCCCTCGATGCGAAGTAAATCGAGTGATAGTAAGTGTATTCACTCAGATTACGAAAGCGATGTGCGCAAGGTTTTTTACTCGGATGAGATCACGGAAGTTTCCCTACGGCCGCTTTTTCGGAAATATGGGTAGCAGAAGTGTGGTTGCTCGCTCAAATACGGAGATTCTGTTAGAGCCGTTGTAAATCCCAACTCTTCTTATTCCAGTGCGAGTTGTGCCTCCGCGGGCAGGTTTTGCTATCATAAGCCAGATCTCTATTGAATTGTGCCCAATGCCAGAGGAGTGGGTTGCGGTGGCGTCTGGGCTTGTTCCTGTGATTTTTTTGTCAAGTCGGATGCTATTGCTGCGGAAAATACCCATTGCTGATGCCAGATTTTGAATAGGTGGCATCATCCAGGGGGTAAATGTAGCGTCCGATTGCATTACTACGTCCCTCTTTTTGTAGTGTCTACAGGATCTGACTTTCTGCGCCCCGCTGTGCACTGTGTCGCCGCCTGCGGAGATAACCTTGGATATCCGAGGAGACGTGTTTCTTGCAGTTCTCGAGATTCGTTTGATGCACGCCCACTACCCACGCCTAAGTTTGCAGGGAAAGTGAGAGGCGAGCGCATACCCCACAAGCGGGAATTAGCTGCGGGAGGGCGGCGCCCCGCCTTGATACATGTGGACGATTGGATGGATGGATATGTGTATATGCTGTATGTGGGTACCGAGATAACTTGTGTGGGCGGCGGAAAACTTTGTCTTTTCGTACAAGCAATGGTGAGAGCAAAGCTAGTTGCGATTTCTCAAGCTACGGACTATCCACAGCACTGTGCGAAGGTGAGCAACTTCAAGCTTTGCTTGTGGAGGAGATGATATGATCGTCGCGATGACAACACAGGTTCGGTGGCGGATCGAGTTAGAGGGTCCCCCCCGGTAAGATCAGGACACTGAAGCCTTGCCGGGCACGGTACCGTGCTGTGCTGTAAAATAAAACTTGGTGTGGATTCGCAGATTTTGCTCTTAACGCTAGTGATGATATCGATATTCGGTGGACGGAAGCGTAAACAACGCCAATTACCCCCAGCCTATTTAAGCACTGTTCCCAAGGTTACCATATATTAAGTCTATCCACGGAGTACTTGGGCGCATTTTAAAAGATTGGTCCGGTCCCGCTGTTTTAGCGATAAGGAGGGCTCAAATTAGGACAGTCCCAACAAGACTACCTTGGTGGTTGTGTAGGTCCTGTAGTTAGGATGCTCGTTGCCACGTCGCCATTACTTATCATACTATGATAGCCTGTGATTAAACTGGCCTCACCAGGCGGAATCGCACGATTAATCCCTTCCGAGTGTGGTACTAGGATGGGCTCGAAATTACACTAGTATAGAGACCGGAAGGGAAAACCTGCTGAAAGAATGCTTTCCGGCTGGATCCTTTGAAGGATTTAATAGTTCGTTTTGAGGTAGTTCTACTCGAGTAGGTGTGGGGGGAGGGGAGGAGGGGGTATGGCTGACTGACTGCACTGTCGTGGGTTGGTTCCTTTCTTCCCTCGTTTCAAGATAAGATTTGAGGGTTTCCCCCGGCGAGAAGCCCCCGGCATGATGGGTTTTCCTCTCTTGAGGAAGCTAGGACAGATTCAGTAAGTGGAATTAGGTCAGCATTCCAAAGCCGGGGGCAATTCCACTGCGTGTATTGAATACCGGTATCCATGGCACACTCCACCTCCTCCTTCCGTATCTAGCTTCGTTCCTACCCTTTATTGCTACCGCCGGACTTGCACCCCGCCACTCAACATCGGCAATCAACATCAACCTCTACCTCCGAGCGCCATAAAACTAACGTGTGATATGCCGGAGGCACGTCACGGGGAACGGGGGGGGAACATATTCTTTTCTTTTTCTATTTTCTGTTCCGTACCGGCTAAGGTTAGACTGTGTGCTGGTGGAGATTTCCAACTTTACGGAGTTAGTTATAGATCTTGCCCGGGGTTGTGTCTGACCGGGCTCGTGGGGGGTGGGGTGATGCTGGTTGGTTGTGTTGGCCGCATCTTAATGGAGAAAGGGGGGGAAGGATGAGTGCATGACATTGGGTGAATGAACGAGACTAAGAGTGAGCGGTATGATACTTTCGAGTCGCATTTTGGATTATGTTGGAGGTCAAGTGATACCAACCAATTAAGGTTGTGCTTGCGCTTCAAGACTTAGGGCTAATCCAGTATCTTGTCTGGCGAACATGTTTCCTGCAGTCCCCCCACTTTCAAAAGCAGTACTGGTATTGCATAGCCGCCGATGGCGGGGCGCCAAGCATGATATACCCAGAAGTCTAGCCTACCCTTCTGAACTTGATCTAGTGCGATTCGGTTGATAGACTCTACAGGGCGACCGCATACTTCTGAGCTACCGGGTCCAGGTGACACCCCAGAAGGCCGTGAGGGAGTCTGCCCGGTATGCGTCCTTTTGTAGATATTTGCAAAGAGATAAGTTGCATGTGTCGGAATAGGCGTGTCTGCCGGTTCCGCAAAGGAAGGTGCTTGGATCCGGATAACATAGGTGAAAAGACGGGGCCGACAGACCAGCACCGGCACCACCACCGCCACCGGAAATGTTGGAATATGTGGCGGCTTGAGGAAATCAGGATGGGAAGAAATGGATAGGGGATGATAGGGAATACAGGCAAGAAACAGCAAAAAAATCTATCAGTCAAAACCTATTGATCGTGATTGCTTTTCCAAAGAGAATTGTTTCCTTGACTGCTGTTTTCCCGGAGTTCCCGGAAAGATGTATGATACTATTTTTTTACCACTAAAATGTCGCCCAATTTCTGACGATAAAATATCATGGCAAAAGCGCGAGTATCTGACTCGAGCGCCACAGGTCCATCGCTGCATCCTACAATAGTCAGTTATGTGGCTCGATTGTTGGGGGGAGCTTCTTGACGGTGGTTACCGGTACTATCTCCTTTGAGTGCATGGGCCAAAAAGTACAAAAATGCAAATGGTTCCAGAGGGGGTCGAACCCTCGACCTTGGCGTTAACACAAGGATAGTATTAGCGCCACGCTCTAACCAACTGAGCTATGGAACCTTGTTGCCATACCTAGGACGATAGTTCATATGTAACACCCGACAGCTCTGGGGCAGGGAGTAGTGGACGGGGTATTGCCAGTGTTATCAAGGGTCTCCCCCAATTTAAGCGGGGAAAGGATATCTCCGGGTGTGGGACTAGCTACAATGTTTACTATTTTAGAAAGCCTATATCAACTGGGAGGGAGCAGCTGCGGTTCGAGTAAATAATCCAAGCCACTCCCTATGTGAGACCTCAGGGTTTGAGCTTCCTTGCTGGGTCAGGCCTTGATTTGTGGGATCTTGACTTCCGCGCTCTCATTTGATAGTCCAGCTGTAAGCCCTTCACGGTCTTTGTATGCCATAATCTCCAATTAACCAATTCGCTTCTGATCCACCAGTCTTGTCGGATGTGTGGTTGATAGGTGGTCACTCATAGAGACCACTCTCTTGTTACAAATTGCGACGGTGAGCACACCACAAGAGAGGATAATTCCTCGGTTGGTTGGAGGGGCAGAAAGGTATAATCTCAAAGAAAGGGGGGAGAAAGAACGTCCTATTTGAGGAGATAGGTGGTGGCCGCGAATCTGCTTATCAGAGAGGAAAGCATCAGTTTGGGGGAAGTCATGGATAATCCACAACGTACACGCACACACACCTACAACGGGTATACGCGGGAGAGCGCAGCTGGAAGACGCTGATTGCGCAGCAGAGGATGGAACTAAAACCCACTGAATAGAAAATCCACATTCTTGTAATTGGGCTAATGCGAGACAAGTGTGGGGCTCTGCTGAGTGTGCCTACTTGTATGACTCATTCGTTATGGTACATCCCCCCCTGTGCGTTCGTACACATAAATTCCCACCCTCTGTCAAGAACTACAGTACACGGCACGTCCGAATCACCTATGATACTTCGAGATCGCAGAAGGTGGTCCGGGACTCACTTGCCACCCTTTCTTCGTTCCTGTCCAGTTTTCTCCTTGTCCGCTCATGTCCACGTAAGACACACCCACCGGTGTTTCGATTTTCTGGGGTAGGGGTCTTGGGATTTCTCTTAGTCATTTAGGTAACTCCCTATTCCATCATGATGAGCCTGTGGACATGATAGGGGGAAGAAGGCTACCTTGTAACGGAAGAATTCCCATCCCAAACCAGAAGACAGCGAGGGACGAGCGAAGCCCCCCTGAACAGACACGTCCGAGCTACCTCAACCCACCTGCGGAAAAACCCGCCAGATCCGATTTCCAAAACCAACGCTCAACAAGCCTTCCTATTCTCCGTTGAACGCGATAAACCCACTCATATGTTGGCTATCTGGCACGTAGCAGATCCAGTACGCCTCCTCCACCCTACCTCTCCGGTTCACCCTTTAACTTCAGCGGTATTATGCGTACCTTCCCCTTCCCACGCTAGCCCAACCGCCCAATGGACGCAATAGCTAGAAGAGGGGTGAGATGATCTCTAGGAATTTGAGTAGAGTGGGTGGGTACAAACAACCGGAGGAGAAAAAAACGGGAGCGTACCTGTCGACCGGGCTATAAACGATATTATTATAAGTATTTTTTTCCTTTCCTTGCCCCCCCCTACTTCTCCCGTTTTCATCTCCATCTCCCTAAAACTCATCTTTCACAATTTCCCAACCATTGACTTCCCAAATAATCCATTTAGCGGAATAGAAGCGTTCACTAGCTGCTAGACGGAAAGGTGTGAAGCTGTAAGAGTGAGAATATTTGTACCTAAGTCACTTGCACTTGTAATAGTGGAGTAGATGTGATAAACAAGATATATCTTTAAGACTCATAGATTAATACAAACTTGCATGTTCTCTCTAACTGAAAGGAAAATACACACCTATTTATACCCTTTAGTGGTTATGTAAACACTACCTCATACTAAGGAAAACCATAGAAACTGCTAGAATCTTCTAGCATAATAATAGATCATGTGACTGTGTCACATGACCAACACAGTCACACCACCATACAGGAATAGGATAACATAATTTTGAACAGAGAGTATGGACAAAATTGGCTATACAACTAGGTATGGGGTGAACTGGAATACTGGTAGGGATGCTAACAGATAGATGAAAAAAGTATTGCAATGGCATGGCTTGGCACTCCTCAAGGAGCATGGAGGGTTAACAACAGAAGGGGGAGTTTCAACAAAAAGAGGAAGAGAACTTGATATGATAATACTATCTTAAAAAGACAATTCCATGAAATTATCATCAGTGAGTTGGACCTCCATGAGTCTTTTGTAAAGTTACAATCCTTCCTGGCATTCTATCAATTCATTTATATATCCTACTCTATAGTAGGCCTTCCCATACCCGCTGTGCAGGTTGAATAATCTCATCTCATCCATGGGGGTGTTGGTGAGGATTACTTATGGCCTGCTGAAGCTGTACTTTCCAAAGAGACAACAGATTCTCAATGGGGTTTAAATCAGGAGAATGGGTCAGCCAATCCATTCTTTTGATCTCATTGTGAAGTCAAAACTGCTATGTAAAAGCTGAAGTATAATAGCTGGCACTATCCTCAATTGTTTGAGTGCCCATATCAAGTCCTCCCATCTTCTGATACAGTGGAATGATATGAGGTACTAGTATCTCATTTACATACTGAACAGAATTGAATCCAAGGCAGTCTTTTTTGGAGGTCCTCTCAGATTTGCTTCTCTGTTGTAGAGGTACAAGTTGACTGTGGCTTTTCAATGTAAATACACTAAAGAACTAGACCAGAACCAGGTTGTCAATAAAGGTCTGCACTAGGTACCTTTCCTCAAAGGCAGTACCTCAAGGTCATTGTACTATTGGCTGCCAGGAGAGTATACCAACCTGAAGATATACTTTATTGGTATATATGTGCTGTTTCCACTATTCTTTTGGCTGGGAATAGTGACTATGGGCAAATTGACACCACCGATAACAACTCTCAGTAGTCAGATATAGTTTTTGGTGACATACTGGTACATAGAGGTTCTGTTGGTGGAGGTAGTTCCACACTGTTCTTTTAGAAATATTAAGCCCTGAAGAAGCTGTAATATCCTATAGTGTTACACCTGGATCACTCAGGGACATATGTTGAAGCTGGAATTGGTCTTGCTTGGAAAGTCTTTTCAGTCTTCTGGGCCTTTGGTTGTTGTTTACATGATTTTCATCATGCCACTGACTCACGATTTGAGATGCTATAGACTTGGACATTCCAAAAGCTTCTCCAATTTGGACATAAGACCAACCCAGTGTGTGCTTTTCAATTATGGAAATGCACTCCTTACAAGAGGTTTCACAAGTCTTCATAGCTTTGGAGGTTGTGCTTAACCGAGATGTTTTTACATGGGGCTCATCACTATGTGGAATTGGATTTTGTTCGGGCTTGCCAAGCTTGTGCGTTGCAATACTTTTTTCACCCATCTGCTAATTTAGCTAAGGATAGACTGGGAGATCTATATCTCCAAATGACTAACAACTCTAGAAACCAAATGAAACTCAACTCCAAAGAAGCACACCGCCCTGACAGCTTATGATCTACCACGATCCTCCAACAATTCAGAACCATCCTTATATCTCATTATTCCTCAAACTATGATATACTACTCGCCCCATCCCTCCGACTGACAATCCAACCCCCGCCAGAGTAAATATCAAGGATCAGATGGGGCCGAAGTTACGAGTTGTAATGGAATTTGGCGATGAGTTTTCGCAACCGGGCGGTCAGTCTGTCGTGAGAGTAGGACGATGACAGATTATGAGTTGAAGCAGGGCTGGTATAGTGCCTGAGAACGTGGGGCCCCGCACTGATTCCCCAGAAGCATTTCAAGGAAACCACGGTTGACCGTGGGTTACAGAGTAGAGTAAAACAGGGCCGTTCCCAAAGATCTTGCTGGGGCTCTTTCTGGTGGTGGAGGGTGGGGGCTGGACACCTCTTAAAACACAACCGGTAGCCAAAGGTGTTCGTGATTCAAGACATGTTTGGTGGCGCTTGATGGCGCAATCGGTGCCTGTGTCGAGGGGTAGCGGGGTCGCCACCTCCTCAATGGGCCACTAACTGTCCATTGCGAACAAGCATTCGGCGTAGACCACAAACTTACAAAAACAAAGAAAAGAAAAGAGACCTACTATTGTGTAACTTAATACTTTGTGCCTCCCCCTTTGCTTCAAGGGCAGCGGCCGCAATACTTGGCCCAGTCATTCGAAAGAATCCAGGAGTGATTGCCAAACGAACTGCTGGGAGACTCTGGGCAAACCTCTTGATTGCTGCCTCCAGTCCTCCCACAGCAGTCGATGTATTTCTACCTTCTCGAACAGTTGACCCTGGGGCTACCGTTGCGTATGGCTGATGAAGTTGTCGGCAGTGACAACGACATCGACGGGCATGGTGTCCTGGTGCGGTAAAGATTTTTCCAGGGTGCCATAGGACCAAAAACAACAATATTGTCTTTTCACCCAACGCAACACTTTTTTCTTCACATGGGTCCGGACCCACAGTTTGTGTCTGGGTCTCAAGCTCACGACCTTTTAGCACACATCTTGCACTCCGATCTCCCAAGTCCAGATTCACAAAAGGTACTATCATACACTCGTCACCACCCGACTTGGGTGATAACCCGCCTAATAGGATCTAACTTTTGACCGCACGGAGCTACTGCACTTGATCCTTTCCTTAAGAAGCGATGTGATTGCTACATTTGGCTTTGGTGTGAGGCACTAAGTACCGGGATTGGCATGAGCAAGCACAGTACAGTACTCGTACAGTGTCAGGAGTAGCTGCATGGCGCGGGCAACAAGGGGAGAGATTTCTGAGCACTTGTCGATGGCATGTCTTGTTCCGCGTTGTGGTGGCCCCTTATAACTGCCTACCTTTCGGAGCTGTAGGACTGATAGTGAAGAATTGACCAAACGCTCTGATTCAATTAGCTTAGGGAGTGCGATTAACTGTAGTGATTAGCGATAGCCTTGGATGGTTAGCAAATTCCATGAAAGCTTTACTCTTCTTTTTCGCTGCTACGACACCCGGGC